ACCCAAACACTTGTGAGTAACACCAATAAAATGCACTGATTTATGATGTTGGATTATGGTGATACCTATACTTTGGTCTTTTATGGACTCCCTGTGTTTGGTGCATCAATATGTGTGTTTCATCAGAAAAAGTCATGTCACACAACAACATCCTATGAAAAATCCTACAGCTTTCTTTGAAAAGGTGATGTGTGTTAATTCAACATTTCTTTATGATTCTACAGTTCATATCAGGAGAACTGATTCAAAAGTATAGATCTATATGTGATTCAGGAACATTCATTAGAAGAATGCTGCAAAACCAAGTAATTGCATTAGAATATACTGTAGATAATTTGGCAATCACTCTCTTGGTTTTTTGTTTTAGCTATAAAAAGGGGATGCAGCAAGAAGAAAGGAGAAATAAGGAAAAGGTGACAGATATTGTAGTGGTCTCACTGTCACTCAGGGATATGGATCCTTGAATGGCCTTTGAAGCTAATTGTGAGCTTCAGAGAAGTGAAATAAACCTCCTTCTAGAAGCCACAACTTTTTCCAGCCTGAGCTTTCTCTTTCTCTTAGTATGCTGTGAAAGATAAAATAGCTGAAGTCCTCTGCTAGGAAGACATATTCTTGTCTAAAAAATTGCCACCATTATTCTCATGGTTCCATGACAAGCTAATATGTTTGAGGACAACTGTAGAGTTATGAGAAATACTTTCTATGTAAGAAAAGGAAGCTGCAATGAGCTGACAACTCCTAAGGCTCTCCTTGCTAGTATTCAATGCTTAGACTTTCATGATCACCCAAGAGCTTCAGGGAAGGAAGATGTTATTTCATGGGTCCATGCAATGTTATTTACTTGCCATTCATTGAAACAGAAAATAATTCAGATTTTTGTATGACTCAGGGAAAAATTTCCAGCATGTTTACCACTATACCATACCACTTGAGATTCATCTTAAGTACCCACCTTCTTCTATAATCAAATACATTATTTTTCAATATTATAAGCTTATAATGGATAGAAACTTATGATAGACAACTTAAAGTTACAAGGTCTAGAAATCATGAAACAAACTCTGTAACAGCCCAATATTCAGAGTTCAAAAGACCAATGAGGAATGGAGTAAATGCCGTTTTCATTACCCATGCCATGGTCTTGATTCACCTCATAGCCCCCATCTCTCCTTTGTCAGCATCCTCCAAGGAAACTAAACATTTCACAGTCTTAGGTTTAATAGATTCTACCTTCTGCATGTTCTTGTTCCTGAATCCTCATATATCTTTTCTTTTTATGACCCTTCAAACTAGGTGACCTGATTTACCTGGATTGTATTATCTATGGGTTCCTATACATCTCTCATTGTGGAGAGGCACCATGGAGGAATGTATATAAACATGCTTGCTCTTATGTTAGTGTCTTACAACCTGTGCCTGTCATCCTCCTTAGAGCCTCTATACTGAGGAAATCTCTCAGGAAGGTAGCAAGGCTTTTGTTAGCTTTCTAGCTAACATTTCAAGCATTTCAAAACAGGAAGTGGAATATCATGCCTAGTACTAGTCAACAAACCAGGAATATTAAAGTTATTGATCTTAGAGGAGAGCCTTTAATCACCACTTTTCTAAGCAGCATAATCTCTAAATATTTGTTTTTATATTCAAAGACAGCGTAGTCTTCACTGCCTATATGAGGAAACTTCTCTTCGAAATAGATGGAGACTATTATTGAAAATCATAACTGAGCAAAAAGGCAAAGTTGTGGAGCTTAGTCCCAATTGATATAACTATCACAGTACCCCCTCACATAAGGTTCAGTAATCATTTTGGAAAAGAAGGTGGAAAGAACATGAAATCAGGAGAAACAGGAAAGCTACAGTGAGAATGTGTTTCATAGAAATGTTAGAATCTGTACACAAGAAGTCTCACCATCTTGGTTGTCAAAACATGACCTGAACATGAAGAATAATATGCTTGCCAATGTGGATAAGGGAACAATCATAAAACTTCAATTTTACATAAAACGTCTACTGGTTAACTAATGAATGAAGAGAGAAGAAATTATCTACCCTAGGGAAGAGCACAACAATTAGTTATTTGGTCATCCCTGAAAGCATATGATACATACAAGTATCATTAGTAAGAAAAAGAAGGGTATATTTATGTGTTTATATGCATATTCTTAAGTACATACATACATGTATATATAGTATTATATATACATGTTTTGCATGTGTATGTGATGCGTATGTGTGTGTATAAGAACAATTAAGGAAAAAAAATCATGAATTTGAAAGTGACCAAGAGGAGTCAGAGAGAGGAATGAAGAGGAGGAAATGATGGAAGTATATTATAACTTAAAAAATAAAACAAAATATAAAGTTCAATTTTATCACCTTTAGAAAAAGGTTTGCACTTAATGGTATTAGAGGGATCTGCAAAACTGAGCAAAGATGGCCCATTTCCTCCTTTTCCTTCCCTAATCTCTCCAAAAATTTAGAGGGTTCCTGACTCTTATGTTTACTCACAGCCATGAGTGACTAAGTGGCGAGAAGTAGCTCACCTCTTATATCACTTGGTAATTGATACCTAGGCAGCAAGAATTCACATCCTGATATGTGAGGCAGTTGCTCAATATGTTTTCATTCAGTTGAAATAGGCCCTAGAAGAGTAATTGGTTTTGAACCTCACAACAAGGGAATATGTATGTTCAATCTATATGCATCAGAAAGATAAGAAGTGGCTTTTGCATGACTAATTCAACCAGAGTGCCAACTCAACAACCTTTCAGGTATTTAACAAGGAACTGAGTTTAAATAATAATAAGCCTTCTGCCTGTAAGTGGTGGATGGGAAGGATATCTTGATCCCAGAATACACATAGATAATCCTGAGCAGTATAACTACCACATGCCAGTGTTTCCGGATTACTGTCCATGAATGGTGAATTTTAAGGTTGGTCCGTCTTCTATGCTGCATTGGTAGGTCCTTTCTCAAATATCAGGCATTATTGTAAGACAGACCTGCAGTTTAACTCAGGACTGGTTCTTCCATGAACCCAACCACTTTCTCACTAGAATAGAAGGGAAATAGAGCATGATTTTGGTTACTTTACTTTACAAATATATGCAGTCAGAGAGAACCTTAAGGAGCCTTCTTCTACTCAAAGGATAAATAGGCTGAGAAAGAAATTAGGGAAATAACATCATTCACAATAGTCAGGAATAATATAAAATATCTTGGTGGTACTCTAACCAAGCAAGTGAAAGATCTGTATGAAAAGAACTTCAAGTCTCTGAAAAAAGAAATCAAAGGAGATCTCAGAAGATGGAAAGATCTCCCATGCTAATTGATTAGAAGAATTAGTATAGCAATAATGAGACCATCTTCTTGAAAACAATCTACAGATTCATTGCACTCCCCATCAAAATTCCAACTCAACTCTTCATAGAGATATAAAGAGAAATTCTTAAATTCATTTGGAATAACTAAAAACCCAAGATACAGAAAACTATTCTCAACAATAAAAGAACTGCTTGGAGAATCACCATTCCTGACTTCAAACTGTATTACAGAGCAATAGTGATAAAAACTGCATGGCATTGGCACAGACACAGGCAGGTAGATGAATGGAATAGAACTAAAGACCCAGGATTGAACCCACATAGCTATGTTCACTTGTTCTTTAACACAGGAGCTAAAACCATCCAGTGAATAAATGACAGCATTTTCAACAAGTGGTGCTGGTTTAACAGGTAGAATCATGTAGAAGAATGCAAATTGATCCACACTTATCTCCTTGTACAAAACTCAAGTGCAAGTGGATCTAGGACCTCCACATTAGAACTGATACACTGAATCTAATATAAGATAAAGTTTGGAAGAACCTTGAACACCTGGGCACAGGAGAAAAGTTCCTAAGCAGAACACCAATGGATTATGCTCTAAGATCAATAGTAGAGAAATGGGAACTCATAAAATTGAAAAGCTTCTGTAATCCTAAAGGCACTGTAAATAGGACAAAATGACCACCAACACACTGCGAAAAGATCTTTATCAATCCTACATCTGACAGAGGGCTGATATCTAATATATAGAAACAACTCAAGGAGTTAAACTTTATAGAAGCAAATAACCCTATTAAAATGGGGTACAGAGATAAACAAAGAATTCTCAGCTGAGTATTCTCAAATGACGGAGCAGCAACTAAAGAAATGTTCAACATCCTTAGACATCAGGGAATTGCAAATCAAAATGACCCTGAGATTCCACCTGATACCAGTCAGAATGGCTAAGATTAAAATCTCAGATACTGGTGAGGATGCTGGTGGGATTGTAAGCTGGTACAACTACTCTGGAAATCAGTCTGGCAGTTCCTCGGAAAATTGCATATAGTACTACTTGACAATCACTGTACCACTCCTGGCATATATCCAAAATATGCTCCAACATATAACAAGGACATGTGCTCCACTATGTTCATAGCAGCCATATTTATAATAGCCAGAAGCTGGAAACAGCACAAATGTCCCCCAGTGAAAAAGTTGATACAGAAAATGTGGTACATTTAAACAATGGAGAACTACTCAGCTATTAAAAACAATGACTTCATGAAATTCTTAGGCAAATGAATGGAACTAAAAAAAAATATCATTTTAAGTGAGGTAACACAGTCAAAAAAGAACACACATGGTATGTATCCCTGATAAGTGGATATTAGGGAAGAAAGTTCAGAGTACCCACAATACAGTTCACAGACCATATGAAGCTCAAGAAGGATGCTACTTAGAAGGAGGAACACAAATAAACATGGGAGGTAGATGTTGGTAGGGTATTGGGAGGAAGAAAGGAGAGGGAGGGGAAATGAGGGGGTAGGTTTAGGTATGTGAGGAGACAGGAGACATGTACAGAGGGTCAGAAAATTGAACAGAGGTATGTAGCAATGGAGGATGGGGAACTGGTTGTAGCTACCAGAAAGTCCCAGATGCCAGGAAAGCAAGAGACTCCCAGGACCCAGCAGCGATGACATTACCTGAAATACCCAACAAAGGGGAGAAAGAATCTACAGACACTATATCCAGAGGTTAGGCAAGGCCCCTGGTTGGGGGATGGGGAAACCTTCTCATCTCCAAATTTTTAACCCAGAATTGTCCCTGTCTAAAAGAAATATAAGTACAAAAAGTGGAGCAGAGACTAAAGGAATGGCCACCCAGAGACTGACTCACCTGGGGATCCTTCCTGCATGCAGACACAAAACCCAGATACTGTTGATGCCAAGAAGTGCTTGCTGACAGGTGTCTGATATAGTTGTCTCCTAAGGGGTTCTGCCAGAGCCTGACCAACACAGATTTGGAAGCTTGCAGCCAACTATTGGACTAAGCATGGAGATCCAAATGGAAGAGTTAGGGGAAGGACTGAAGGAACTGAAGGGATTTGCAACTCCATAGGAAGAACAACAATATCACCCAACCACAAGTCCCAGAGCTCCCAGGGACTAAACCCCCAACTAAAGAGTATACATGGAGGGACTCATGGCTCCAGTTGTATACATAGCAGAGGATGTCTATTTCTGGTATCAATGAGAGGGGAGGCCTTTGATTCTGTGAAGGCTTGATGACCCTAGCATAGGGGAATCCTAGGTTGATGTGGTGGGAGTCGGTGCGTTGGTAGGGGCCCTCATAGAAGCAGGGGAATTGGGATGGGGGGGTTTCCTGGGGGAAAGGGAGAGGGGACAACATTTGAAACATAAATAAATAAAATATCCAATAAAAATAAAAATCATCATTATAAAGACACAATGGAAAAATGCCAACTTAACTCCAAAGATAAACACATTTGACTGACATCTGAACTCTCACAGGAAACCTTACAGGAAAGAAAAGCACAGGACAATATATTTTAGGTCCAGATGGTATATAATTGCTAAATAAGTTACATATGTCTAACAAAATTATCTTTTTAATTGAGGGAAAATGAGTACATTATAAGATGATCATAAACTAAGGCAGTTCACCATCTTGAAGATAGCACTGCAGAAGATACTATCAAATACTATGCAGACAGGGAAAAAGAAATAGCATCTCAATTATGAGAGCACAGATAAAATGTTAATGTCATGGGATGAGGAGATGAACAATGATTATCAGGAAAGGAGTCCAATGTGTCTAAAACTGAATGTCAAAAAAAAAGAAGAATATAATTGAGTAGTCGGGAAAAAGAAAACAAAGAAACAAATAAACAATTCATCAAGAAGCCACTACAAATTTATAGGTATTAACAATAATTTCTTAACTTTATATGACCTCAATTCAGCTATAAAGATACACATTTTATTGAACTAGATTTAAAAAACTCTACTCAACAGTTTTCTCTAAGAACCAAACCTTGCTGTTAATGATACTTCATACTAAGAGAGTTAATTGTAGAAGTAAATCCACTAAGAGAGTGGGAGCACAGTCCAAGGTGGTTCAGTTTTGCTGATATCTGGTGCAGTAGAATCCAAATTATCACTGCTACTAACAAATATAGAAAGCAATAAAGTTGAGTCACTCAAAGTACATAACAATTAAATACATGCACACCAAATGATGAGACTTCAGTTAAAACAAATAAACATGGATGCAATGGACATAAAATGTCAGTTATATCCTGATACAACAGCAGAGAGTAATTTTAGCACACTACTCTCATATGTTGATTGAAATTAAAAATCATCATAGAAACTTTAGAATGAAACTGCAGGAGAAGTGAATGGACACAACAGACATCTAAACTGTATCACATCAATTATGTATACTATACATCATTCTTTGCAGACCACTGAACCATCTAAAGGACAGATTCTGTTCTAAGCCACAAAGTAAGTCTTAACAAGGATAGGAGAATCTAAATGAAGCTAGAAAATAGTACAGAGAGAAATTACATAAACTAAATAATTAATTGGAGAAAGCACAGTAGCCTTTTATATTACCATTGATTTATTGAGAAGCCATGGGGAAAAACAATTCCTAGAATCAGATGAAAATGACAAACAGCATCCTAGCATGTTTGTGATACGGTTACGTGGTGCTGAGAGGAAATTATATGGCTTTGAATGCCTGTCTTAAAAACACAGAGAACCCAATTAAATGATCAAATTCATAGAGATGTCAAACAAGTACCTAGCAACTTGCCTCAGGTTCTAGAACAAGATCAAGCCAAACTCAAGCAATAAACGGAAAGAAGTGGTAAATATTAGGGCAGGAATGAATGAAAGGGAATTTCAAATAACAATAGAAATCATACATAAAATTATTCAGTGTTTGTTCTTTGAAAAATAGAAGACAACAGCATTCAACCTAACCATGAGAAGGAAAAAAAAAACCAAATTAATAAAATCACAGATAGAAGAGAAGCTCTTGAAAAAGATTCAAGTGAAATTCTTAATATCATTGGGGGTTATTTTGAAATCTTATACTTTCCCTCAAGCTAAAAATATAGAAGAAAAGTGTCAGACACTCTCTGTCTGTCTGTCTGTCTGTCTGTCTGTCTGTCTACCTGCCTGTCTGTTTCTCATTTTCTTGCCCACACACAGAGAAAAATCAATTTCTGTGATTAACATTTCCTCTCCCACCTTCTGGAATACTTGCAAGCTAAGTCTAAGAACATTGGGAAGAACTGGAAAAGTAAAATTGAAATTCATTAACTCACCAAAACCAAGTAACATGTGGGTTGTCAGGATTCAGTTGTATAAGAATTTCAGCATCTTTTGCTATGAATTGCTTTGAAAGGGTAAAGCCCTTTGCACTCATCTCATTTTCCATCATTGGAAGAATAGGACACAGTGATCACAACATAGGCTCAGTTTGGAGGTTCTGCTTAGTGGGCCTTCTAGAGACAATCAAGCTATAATGTAGAGCAGTCAGATCTTGAGAGTGGTATACTGAGCTTCACTCAGTCCCTTGAATTATGATACTATATTAGGATATCAGAGTCTAAGGTCTTTCTTCCGGTCAAATCTCTGGAAGCAGAAACACCTGACTTTCCCTTGCATTGTATACAATGTTCACCGCATGTCAATATCATCAGTTCAGGTGCCATAAAGAAGGAAAATACTTATAAAAGATCCAACAAACCCAGCTAAGCTGTAGTTAGTCCTAAAATACTCTAGTGAATTCTTTACTAATCCTAACTGCTACAAAATGATTCAACAGCAGATGTCCCTATGAACAGGGACCCAGCTTTCTGAGCTGATTTGCATAGTCAGACATTAGCCACAGTGCAGATTCCACAGAACATCTTTAAAGGTAGCTTACCACTGTTGGAGAAGCAGCTTATAGTACAGCTCTCAGAGATGAGGTCTGCTCTTCTGCTGTGGGTACTGCTGCTCTGGGTTCCAGGTGAGGGGTGATCATGTTGGAAATATCCTCTGTGGTCATTACTGTTTTTCAGAGTTTGGTGTCCTAATTATTGAAATTTTGACAATTAATCGGTTTAAGGTTCCCTTTTATTTATGAGTTCTCATACTGTAGCTCATGCCTGTTGTTACAGTTTTCACATACTTGAAAGGTTTCCTTTGGGATGCTTTATGTACATCTGTCAGATCAAGGTGTGTTTAACAATGCAGGATCCACTGGTGACATTGTGCTGACCCAGTTTCCAGCTTCTATTGCCATGTCTTTTGGGCAGAAGGCCACCATTTCCTGGAGGACCAGCAAGAATGTCACTGAATATGGCAGTAATTATATGCATTGGTACCAACAGAGACCAGGCCATCTTCCCAAACTTCTGATCTCTTTTGCATCTAACCTAGCATCTGGGGTCCCTGCCCGGTTCAGTAGTGGTGGGTCAGAGACAGATTTCACCCTCATCATCCATCCTGTGGAGGCTGATGATGTTGCAACCTATTACTGTCAGCAGAGTAAAGAGATTCCTCCCACAGTGGGAATCATCCTCCAGGCCTAAACAAAAATTTTCTGGGGTTGCAGCTCACGGAGGCTCAGTTTCTGAACTGTGTCTTTTCACAGATATCTCAACTACAACATTTTATTAAACTTGTTCCCAAAAAGAGTGAAGCTGTGAAACAGAGATTTCTTAAAATCATGTTTGTTTGTCCCATTATGTATATATGCTTTATAACTTATCGATTTGCTTATTTAAAAAAGATCTAATTTATACTATTATCCAGGCATTTTTTATATTCAATAAAGTAAGAAGACATCATTTTAAACTTAAAAGAAGCTTCCCTCAGCCACTCAGAATAATCAGAGCTTTTAAAATCAAGGTTGTTTAATTATATTGCAGACATGACATTTTGATCTCAATTTTTTTATATTTCATATCTATTTGCTTGTGAATTTACAAATCCTTCTTCAAGAGATCATACATCTCAACCTCCTTTAGCTATTTTTCACTGCATCACTTCTGATATACATCCCTCTGTTCATCACAGATGCTCATTCATGGTCTGTATCTCATTGGGTGTTCTTTTGTTCTTTCTTCACTACTTACATCTTTATTTTAAATATTATTTTCTGCAATGTGGCCACATTCTTTTCTTGTCTTCTTTCACTATTTGCTATCTTCTTCAACAGGGAATTGCAAAGTCTTACTTTATATACAAAGCTGACCTGGAAATCACTACCTCGTGATCCAGACTTTGAAGCCCTCCTGCCCCTTCCTCTTCCCCTTCCACATGTGTCTCCTTTAGGCTCCTATTTCTTCATATGAATTATGTGAAATCACAACACAGTGATCCTGAGAAAAATTTTCAGATTTTATGTCTGGCTTTTTCATGTTTATAGTCTTTAATTAGATTCTTATTGCTGCAGAATAAATTAATACAAATATAATGACTTACACCACAACACCTTTAATCTTAGAGGGGTTTACCCCTCAGACCCTTTGAGTCTATAATCAAGCTGTTGTAAAGGATGCATTCTCATCTAGGTACTCAAAAGATTCTCCTTGTAATGCCAGTAAAGATATTGGAACAATTTCATTTTTTTTCTTTCTGAAATCTTAAAATAGGTTTTCATTTATTTTCCCAAGATGACTTTGACTTTGCAAGTGTCTTAACTCATCCATTCACGTGCCAGAACTAGAAGCCTCAGCCAGCCTGTTCAATAGCTTTCACAGTTACTGATGGGACTTATAGGAAGGAAATCATCAAGGATATAGAAAAGTTCAAGTGTATTACAAATCTGTCTTGGCCAGATGTTGGCCAAGCTCTATTCCCAAACAGAGCAAATTAAGTATTCTCCTCAAATGTACAGTGAGCCTTTTCTGAAACAAATTCATGCTTAGAATTGTAGAGCAAAATTTGACACATTTGTCTGAATTCCATTTTTACTGTGGCTGGATAATATTCCTTGCAAATGTGTCTCACTTTTACTATTTAATTTTTTATTACTGTGAAAAGTGTAGTATTAATGTGTGAGTATGTATACTAAGTTTACATTTGTTTATGAATATACCTACTGGTGGAGGGGCTGAATTATATGGTAGTTCCATGTCTTGTTTAGGACTGTCCATACTGTAGTTCTCAGTTTCCATATCAGGTTGCAGTCCCTTCAGCAGCATATAATCCTTATTTTTTCTATAAGTTACTCCACCATTTCTAGTCATTTTCATTTTTTTATTAGTTATTCATGGAAAATGAGTTTTATGTTTTTGATTTAGTGGCTATCTCACTGTTAGAAGTCACCAAAGGTAGATGCTGATGTGGAAGTCAGGAAGTGCATGCTGATAAGAGCCTGATATGGATGTCTCCTCAGAGGTCTTCAAGAGTCTGACATATTCAGAGGCAGATGCTCACAACTAGCCATTGAACTGATCATGGGTTTCTCAATAGAGGAGTTAGAGTGAAGACTGAAGGAGCTGAAAGGATTTGCGGCACCATGAGGAGAACAATAATACCAACCAACCACAGCTCTCAGGGTCTAAACCACCAGCCTGGGAGCACTTGGGGGGGGATCCAGGGCTTCAGCTGAATATGTAAGAGTGGAGGGCCCTGCTGGGCATAGGTGGGAGCACCTTGACCTCATGAAGGCTGGATGCCCCAGGGGGGTGGGAATTTTGAGGGTGGGGAGGTGGGAGTGGGGGGGAGTAGATAGAGGTTACAACCACAGAGAAGAAGGAGGAGGGGTGAGGGGATTGGGGGTTCCGGGGTGGGTGGGGGATGGGGTAAGGGGACAACATAGGAAATGTAAATAAAACATCCAATAAAAAAAAAGAAATGAGAATTGGCAAGCCTCAAAAGGTCATCTTGAAGTCATTACCATCTTCAAAAGAACACAAGTTATTGATACCTTGAGATGTCATTTTACTTATAGTGATATATATATTCATTTAGAAGAGATTTTAATAATGTGCATTCTCCTGCTCTGTATTTCCATGGTGGTGAAGCTGAAAGTCTCATTAATACTTTGGCAACATGAAGCTATGTTTCCCATAGGGCATAGAACTTAGCTATATTTGGATGACCTATTGTTCTTCTTCTCACATGAGTTCAGGCAATTTTCTATGATGTCCCAAAGAAAAGTAACACATGATGGCATGATGAAGTAGGGAGGTTTCTGTTTGGGCTACAATACTGTAAGAGTTTGTGTGCTTTATATATGATAACCATAACATCCTTAGCCTCCATTCTGCTGATTTTGAACATGAAACATGTATATTCCTCAGCCATTGCCACTGATATTGTCAAGAATCCTAGAGTACACATTTAAAGTCTTATAAATTAGTAGATGTGCCATCTGTCCTGACTCATATACAATCCATTTAACAAGTGTTTTCACAGTTTGTAAGAGTATCTCATTTGATTTTCCAGAGATGAATATCAGGTCTCTAAATCATGACTTCAAGATACAACACAGTTAGAGTTATCTCAACATCATCAGAATACCCTTAAAGAATGAAACACAACTTTGAAGTCATATGACATTATTAGCCATTTAACTATTTTTGAAAATGTCATACTATTTACTTGGTGGTTTTGTTTTACATGCCAAAATATCTATGTATTTTGAAATAGAACCCAATGTTTGCATATGTGCAGTAAAAGGCCGTTTCCACAGTATTTAAGACTGTGTATGTGAACTTACTGTCAGATCCTATGTTCCTGTTTTTGGTTGCTTGTTCTCTCTCTCTGTCTCTCTCTCTGTCTCTCTCTCTCTCTGTCTCTCTCTGTCTGTCTCTGTCTCTGTCTCTGTCTCTCTCTCTCTCTCTCTCTCTCTCTCTCTCTCTGTGTGTGTGTGTGAGAGAGA